AACGTAACAGTTATCGACAATCGCAAAGATATGACGACGATGAATACGAAAGAAGGCAACAGCGGCAATATGAATACGAACCTGACTACTACAATGATTACGGATACCTTAGAAGAAAACGCGTACGCGACCGAAAGTTTCGATCAAAATTTTAATAAGCTTTCGTATTAACGTTATGAGATGTATTATAATTCTTTCGCATAGAATAGTAGTACGTAATATGCTGATTTCCACATTTATTCTTATACGTTAATTACACATCCGGTAATTTTTCTTGGATCATGCATATATCTCGATATTACATTTTTTACAATATATATATTAGTGTTATTTGATTGAGATTATATATTATATTTCTATAGATTATATTTATTTAGTACATATGCACCATACATAGCACGAAAACATATATTCATTCTTTGAAACGTTTCATTTTAAATCTATGAGACAGGTAGATGTATAAGTGTGTTATTATTATTTGTCCAAAATTGTATATTAAGAAAAATGATTGTATATTAAGAAAAATCTATAGATCTAAAGAACAAAGTGATGGCATTTTTTCCGATGTTTCATTCGTTGTACAATTATGTTATATATTTAATTATTAATTGCGTCATATGATATGCTAATCCTTATTAGTCGATTTTTAACCTTAAATAATTTCCAAATTCGAAAAAATCATAAAAGATTTGTGATGTATACGTAGTCTCATAAAAAATGATTAAATCAAATTTTCGTGTAACCTATACGACTATGGTGCATAAAATCTAAAGTCATCAAACGTTTGTATTTTATAAAATGTATAAACTTCTTTACTAAGAAGTAAATACCAAATTTATGCTCAGAAAGGGCCTATTCTATCATATTCACGGATTAAATTTACTTCTTAGTAAAGAAGTTTATACATTTTATATTTTTAAAAAGGCTCTCTTACATTAAAATATAGTATTTTTTAATATCTGAGCAAAATTTCTAAACAAGTTAATATATAAATTATTGAGGAGATACAATTTGAAATATGACAATGTTTCAGTCTTTTTATATAAAATTATCACAAATTGTATCTCTTCAATAATTTACATATTAACCTGTTTAGAAATTTTGCTCAACTATTTAATAGATTCAATATTTTAAAGTAATAGAGAGCTTTTTTAAAAAACTAAAAAAGTAATTTACTAATTTCCCCAAGTTCTGAATGGTTGAGGATATTAAAGGTTAATTTAGCGTTAGGATTAAGGGTTAGGGTTAGGACTGGAGAAAATATTATATGTAAAATTATTTCCCCGACATTTTTTATTAATCATTTTTGATATGAGACTACGTAACATAAAAATTTGATCTACATACATAGTCCACCAAATACCAAGTACCCTAGTCAGGGTCATGTGATAATAAACCAATCCAACCAATAGTAATGCGCAAAAATTCTGCGCAACCAATAGGAATCTAGCAAATTTTTGATCAACCCGGCAAAACAAATCCGGCACAAGAAAATGAGAAAAGACAAAAAAATACAAAAAAACGATATCTAAATCTAGCTTGGTGTACTATCAAAAAATGTCGGGAAGACAATTTTACATATAAACTTGATCTCAGCTCTAACTCTAACCCTAATACTTAATATTTTAATGGATCTATTTCAGATCACATAACCCGACACTTTTTTTGCTAGGTTATCCCCAAATACCCCCAACAATAAGTGTTACATTTATTTGTTTTTGGTGATCATAAAAATAGATTTAAATGTTCATCTGATATTTTTTTTAGTAAAACCAATTATTTACAAAATGAACAAAACAAAATTCACGGTACAATTCTTCAAAGAATTTTGTTACTAAATTAATAGCTTTGAATTTAAATTTTCTACAGGGGAGGATTCTTTATGTGCTGAAATACGGTACATTTGGTAAAGCCACTAAAAGTGTCGTTTTGCACAAATAACAATGGTTCTTCTATTCGAAGATTCTATTTTTAATTTTTTATGATAAAATAACCTCATACTAAAATTAAACGAATTTCGACTATTTGATATTTACCCAGTACAGAGAAATATTTGATTTATTTCTAATTTTGCCGCATATATTACATGCATATAAGTATAATAAGTTAACTAAAACTATCGATTTTGTTTCATCGTAAATTCGGCAAAGTTAAAAATATAAAGTATTCCAAGGTTAAGCATTCCCAAAAATAAGCACCGACTTATTTTGCTCCAAATTATTGAAATTTCAATCCAGTTATTTTACTCCCGAAAATAAGCACTTCCCCGAAATATGTTATAAAAGCCGTACTATTTTTGCTTTCTCTATTATACCTTAACGGTCTCGTAATTTAGTGCACACCTACTTTGAAAAAGATACATGCTAATTACAAATCCCATGAGTTAGCGTTTAAAATTATTTCTAATCTCTTTACCTTTTATTGTAAATCCAAGCTTTTCTAATTCTTGAAGTGAATTTGTATCTTCACTTGCATGAAAACCGTTTCTAATTGAATCCGTAGTTTCAAGCTCAATACAGTTTATCTAATTACTACAGAATTTTTATATATCAATGACATAGAATCAAGTTTTTGACTACTATGGTGCATAGCATCTAAACTCAATAGATTGTATTTATAAATTCAATAAACTTCTTTACTTAGTAAATACAAAGTTTAATACGTGAATATGAAAGAATCCGCATAACCACCCCGGTAGAAAATTTAAACCTTAATTTAACCATAAGGCTGTTAATTTAGTAATTAAACTTTTTAAGAATTGCGAATCTTAATTCATTTATTTTGTAGAAAAATAATTGGTTTTACTAAAAAAAAAAATTGGACCAAATTTAGATTTGAATTTTCTCCAGGGGGTGGGTAGTTTATACGGTAAATTACGGTAGCAGTGTTGTCACTTTACTATGTCCAGTAATTCTGGTTACTACACTGGACCATATTGGACTTATAAAATTACTAAGTCCAGTGGCACAGTATTGGACTATGTCCAGTTAACCTTTCTTGATTATATTCACGGATTAAAATTACTTCTTAGTAAAAAAGTTTATTTATAGAATATAATCTATTGATGAGTTTAGATTGTTACAGTCGACTTACGATATAACGACGTGCAGATCCCATTGTAAACAATATAAATTCAATAGAATCTGCACGTCGTTA